TTGTATCTCTCCGACTCTATTTAAGATTTATATCTCTGCAGCTCTGAAACAATGGAAAAGGAAAGTCAAAGGAACGGGTATACAATTGAACGATCAGGATTACATATATATTTTACAGTTTGCAGATGATCAGGTGGTGATCTCAAATGACAAAGACGACATGGAATACATGCTTAGAAAACTAATTGAAAAATACCAGAAATGGGGATTAAATATCAATTTAGAAAAGACAAAATACCTCTCAATTAGAACTAAAGCAGAACAACTCGATATTGATGACAATCAAAAAATAAATCCATGTGACGAATATAAATACCTGAGCATCATCTTCGACCGTAGTGGAACAGACGAACGAGAAATAGAACATCGAATTGTACAAGCACGAAGAGCTGAAGCATGTTTGAACAAAGTTCTATGGATATGGAGTAAAGAAATATCAAAGAAAAGAAAATGGAACATCTCTAGCACACGTTCGTTGGATATGTGTGCTGTCCACGGGATTCTGAGAGGTAACACCATAACTCAAATGCTTCTAATTTGTTAAGATTTTTTATTTTTGTTGTCCATGTTTCACATCCATAGAACAAAGTGGACCAGACGTAGCACTTTAATACTCTTAGACGTGTGGTTAACGACATACTTTTACTGCATAATACAGAACGCCAGTTTATAAAGTTTTTCCGTGCGAGTTCTATTTTGGTCGAAATTTCCTCATCACTTTCAACCCTGCAGTCAATCCAGCTACCCAGATATCTAAAGTGTTCCACCCTTTCCAGGATTTTGTTATCTAATCTTAGTACTGAGTCTTCGATATTAATTTTTCCGACCACCATCCATTTTGTTTTTTTTGCGTTGATTGTTAAGCCCTTTTCAGTGCATTCGTTGTTTACAGCATTCAACAGGGTTTGAGGATCTTCTAGACTTTCTGCCATTATTGCGGTGTCATCGGCGTATCTGATGTTATTAATAATTTCACCACCGATCTTAACACCTTCGCCGCGATTATTTAACGCTATTTCAAAAACTGGTTCAGTGTAGGCATTAAACAACATCGGTGACATAACACATCCCTGTCTGACACCACGCTTAATAGAAACTTTAGCTGAAACCTCTTGGTCCACCTTAATACAAGCGGTCTAATTGTAGTAAAGATTTTTGAGCAATCTAATGTCCATCGAGCAATAAGACAAAAGAGGGAATCTAATCCTTATGAAAAGGAGACCAAAAAAGTGGCCTCTGATGGCGGACATATCCGGAAATGCGAATGCGCGAAATTTAAATTTTCCGACACTTATCAATAGTAGCTATATAATATTTTTCAGAATGTGTCTTAGACGAGAAAGTTTTAATTAATTATTAATGATAAGAGTCTAAAATGAGACACAATTGTTAAAAAACTTCAATACAAATAAGATTTCATGTGACATTTGGGACAAACAATAACATAACCCAACTAAATTTGATGTCAAACAAGGAGAGAGACTCTCTATCCTTGTTTAAAGTGGCCTCTAAAGTTCGCACTTCCTGTCTAACAATATGTTTGCCCCCACTACCTTTACATTCCCTCTATTGTCTTTTTGCTCGATGCTAATGTCATACGTGTCCAGACCAACTGAGTCTAAGCATTGAATAATAATGTATGTGGTACTCTATCAAAGGCTTCTTCGAAATCTATAAAACATACGTAAATATTTTTCCTAAACTCAATGCTCTTTTGTAAGAGTATTCGCATGCAAAAAGAGCTTCTCGAGTACTCATACCGTTTCGGAAATCAAACTGCTCATCACCAGTTATCCCCTCACAAAGTTTATATATGCGACAATGCAATATTTTCATAAAAATTTTGAGCGTGTGACTCATTAAACTGATAAGTCGATAGTCGCTACAGTGTAGTGTAGCGACTATCGACTTATAACAAGATCTACTGTACTTATATTATGTCCGTATAAAAGATCAGGGCGCAGAAAAACTGCATCAACCAATCTTTATATCTTTAGGTATGTGTCCTATTAGAAGACGATCCACATTTGATTTCTAGACAAATATCTAGAGAATTTTTGATTTCGCAAACATGCGTAACAAAAATTTTACGTCAAAATAAATTTCATCCATACAAAATAAGAATAGTTCAAGAGTTGTCAGCTGATAATTTCGATAGATGTGAAGATTTTGCAGACATAATGATGAAAGAATGATGTATTCAAAACGATTCAAACTTATTATTACGATTTTTTAACTAATGGAAACGTAAATCGACATAATTGGTCGATTGGATGTTGGTCACGTAACAATCCTTGTTGGATGCGCCAATACCACACACTCTATCCAGAAAAACTTTAGGCAATAATATTCGACAAAATAATTGACCCCTTTTTCATTAAAGGAAATAACTGTAGACAACATAGACAATATATATCAAGGAACTATAAACTTATTCAGATGCATTTGTTTTAATATATCTGCTTCCAAGCTATAAAGAAGAGTAGTGAATACGTACCACCAAAGCAATCTTAGGCGTAGTTCAAACCTTATATACCGACAACAAAGAAACTTTTTAAGTTTAATTAACAATGCACGTGCTATTTCAATACGTGTCATAATTTCTTTGGTTTTGTCTACATTTGATGTTATCCATGTTCCTAAGTATTTCTAGATATCCACACTATCAATTACAGTATCCTTAACAATTATTTGGATGTTTGCATCTGCTGATTTAGTCATGATCATGTTTTTTTCAAATTATGTATTATTATGTCATTATTACTGTATCGTCTGCAAAACGCACATTATTTAAAACTTCTCCATTAATAGATATACCTTCTATAGAATCTGAGAGTGCTTCTTTAAATACCGCTTCACTGTAGATATTAAAGAGTAGGTGGTGACAGCACGCAACCCTGGCGAATTCCTCTCTGTATTTTGATATCTCGGGTATTCTGGTTGTCAACTCTCACTTTGGTAGTTTGATTCCAACATAGATTATATATAATTTTCATATCACGACTGTCAACATTTTTGCTTTTTAATACAACTACAAGCTTTTTATGTTGAACCTTATCAAATGCCTTTCCAAAATCTATGAAACATGAGTACATGTCCTGATTCGTATCCATGTATTTCTAAGCCAGCATATTCAAGCCGAACAAAGTATCTCTTGTACTCATACCATTTCTAAAGCCAAATTATGTGTCACTAATTTCATATTCAAGAGTTTTAACAATCCTGCTGTATACTATTTTGAAAAAAATTTTTAAGTGTGTGTTTCGTTAAAGCTATTGTTCTCTGATCTGAGATGGATATTGCACTTGACTTTTTGGGTATTGCCACAAAGGTCGATTGCAGCCACTGTCTGGAGATTGTGGCAGTCTGATGTATATTAGATTAGATTAAAGAGATCAACCATTACATTAATAACATCTTCATCAATGAGGAAGGCAGATATGTATCCCAGGTATGCAAACACACCTAGGACAACGAATACAGACCTCAATGGAAAGATGGATCAATAATCATGAAAGAAACAGATATGAAAAAGAGAAAAGTCAAAGAAGCAGTACTAACGGAAAAAAAATGTGTAGCAAACCTATCAGTAGAATGCAGTCGACTTTGGTTTTCAATATTAAAAGAAAAAGTCAACAATAAGAATATAGGTACCAACAATAGCGGAGTAACCGAAGATCGCAAAACATCCTCTACAATCTAAGATATACCTACACAATACCTGTGCAACCCACAACATAAACATATAATCTTCGTTAAATATACTTTATACAAACAAATAAAACACACTAAACAGTCAGAATTTGCTACTCCGAGGTTTAAAACAAACACTCTCAAATTTTTTTGTCCGCCAAAGAAGGCTATTGGCTAAGATTGTGGCCAAATATCGATTAAAAGAAAACAAAGCCTACTAAAAATATTTTGGTTATACATTTTCCCCTAATGTTTTAAAATAATCCGATTTTTGCAGTGGAAACCGAAACGTCAATTTTTTTATTTAAAAATGTAATTTTCCTGACAATAAATTGTGGTTAAACCCCATATAAATATAATATTTAACATAAACTGCAAAGTGTTAGAAATTGTAGAATGGTTTCCAATTTGACTAAAAATTCCATGAAATAAAGCGTTTGGATTAAAAAAAAATATTATACTTTTGTATGTATCACCCTGTATAATTCTTTTTTTGTAATTTATAGAGAAATAAAATTACTAATTGAAATTCCCTGGAATGAAGACGAAAAAAAAGGAAAACTCTTTTCAATGCAAAATTTAATTCCAAATATTTACAACTAGAAATTTGACAATTTATGTTTAATTTCCAAAAAAATAATTTATAAAACAATTATTTGTTTTAAAATCTCTAGTTTTATTCGCCTATTGACACATTTTCAAGTGAATATTTTTAAATCGCTTTTTATTAACTTTTTACTCGGAGAATTAAGTGAAATGAATCTCTTTCAATCGCTATGGATTTCGTAAAGTAGGATTTTGAATAGAGTTCTAGCTGATTCCAAACTCACTTCAAATAATCTCCGAACTACAGCTATTGTTCACATATTAATAGTAAAACATTTAATTCCCATTCAACCTTCAATAGACTCCCATAAAATCTATCCAAACTAAATTATATAGTATCGCACTCAAAAAGCCCAACAATAGCATGTTAAGAGAAACTAGGACCCTCCTTCAGAGTCCTATTATAATACCGGCAATATATTTGCCATTCAAATCTAGTTTGTATATTCCTATTGTATATAATACACTGAATATCCTGCGAAGGAGGGGCAGCACCCTACGTCATCCGTATAGGGGCGCGGCTTTTCTCCGCTCGCGCTTCTCATTGGCCGATGTAGCAAGGCGCAAGCGACCAACAGATGGGGTACTGTATCCACCACCGGTAACCGTATCATTTGACAGTAACTGTCAGTGAGTGCAACATCCCCGATTTGTGCGGCCTAACCGTCACCCCTTCACGTATGTTTCTGAATTAGTTGACAATGAGTATACCCGGTACCGGAGTGGATATGTCTGCTCTAATGTCTCAACATCCTGTGCTAGGAGCTATTCCTCCGGCGTTCTTTTTAAGAGCCTCAGAGAGATATCAAAGAACCCCCAAATGTGCAAGATGTCGAAATCACGGTGTTGTCTCGGCTTTAAAAGGACACAAAAGATACTGTAGATGGCGGGATTGCAATTGCGCCAAATGTACCTTGATCGCAGAGAGGCAGCGAGTTATGGCTGCTCAAGTCGCTCTCCGGAGGCAGCAGGCTCAGGAGGAAAATGAGGCCAGAGAATTGGGGATCCTCTTTCCCACGCCGATGACCCAATCCGTTGGAGAGACTCCTGTGCCACCGCCTCCAGTCTCAAATGCATCTGATATGGGAATGGCTCCTGTTTTGCAAAGAAGTACCTTCACCACGGCATCTGATTCTTCAGAGGCTTCTAGTCCAAGTAAGTGTTTATTTACTTAATCAAAATATTACAGTGACAAACGTTGATAAAGAATCACATTAAAACACGACTATATCACTACAATAGGGTGTCAAATAATAAACGTGAAATGATAATCCAGATTTTTAATAGAAAATACTTTGCGTTGACAAATAAATGATAGAACAACAGTAGGATTCAAATACACGATTAAAAAATATCTTGTCACAAGTATATTAGTTGTGCCTTTTCTGTATAATTTTAGGATTATTTTATAATTATACTCCTACAAGTCTTCCATATTTTTAAAACATTTTCTTTACGATCAAGGTAGTAAATATATAAATTTTCTATACAGATAATAAATACTTTTTGATTGTTTTTTTTTGCTCTACTTGAATTTTTTAGTTTTTGTTTTTTATCTCAACTGATCAATCTTATTTATATCAAATAATCCATACTGTCGGCTTTTTTGAGCACACGGTCTCTTAGCAACAATGTCTATAGGTGTTTTAATTTTAAAACTTTATCAAAAGGAACAGAAAAAGAATCCGTGACATCAAGTGTAATAATATGTGTGATAAAGCATTCAATTTTAATGATTTTGAAAGAATTTTTGGGTTTTATAAATAAGAAGGTTTTATAGATTAACCCCCTTAAAACCGAATATGCAATATGTAACAATAATTGTATAATGTTTTTATATGGCCAAGGGATCCTAATTGCCGCTTCAGTAGTAAAAAATTTTCATCTGGGCCGTAGTTCTTGCTGTTTGTAGCTGTATGGCATATTGTTCGAACGCTAATCAAAACTTGATTGTAATCAAATATTTAATTACAATCAAATACGTCATAGCAGCTTTCAAAATTATTAAAAATTGTTTATTATTATTGATTTGTAAATAAAAACATAAAATTAACATCAGAAAGAATTTATTTATTGTTTATTTTAAATTATAACGCACAATAATAAAATTAAAGAAAATAAATCAGTCAACATAACCCCAAAATGTGACGTATTTGATTTTAATTAAATATTTGATTACAATCCAGTTTTGATTAGCTTTCGAACAATTGGCCCATTAGCGGTTTGACAATTATTTTTGTGCTAAGCTGATGTTTAGATACATGTTTTTATTTTGTTCTAACTATTATTAGGCTGTCTTAGAGCCTTATATCTTTTAAAGTGTCAGTTATTATTATTATCTTGTTACAGAACATTATTCTTAATTGTAATTGTCTGTTTTCATTATATTTATCATATTTATCAGTTGTTATAAACTCTAAAATATATTGAGCACGTCACTGTATCATTTGCATAGCTTTTAGACTTTGTTTTATCTAGATTATATAACATGTATTGATAAATTCTACTAAATCCTTGGCTATAGATTTAACATCAATGATCCGTGTGCCAGGCATCTAAATATACTTAATTCTGTCTGTTTCGTCTTCTTTCGGCTCTAAATGTACCTAAACTTCTAAATTGTTTTTAGTTATGCCTTATTCTACATTTAAGTTAATATACATATATTGTTTAAAGATTTATTAACTAATGCACATTTTGATTCAAACATTAGTTAATGTAACAATATATATTTATTTACTATAGAAAGTAGAAAGTTTTAAATCGAACGCAGTAATATAAATTGTTTTGTATTAACAGCATAATAGTAGCAAGTTGTAATGTTTAAGAAATTTAAAATAATGTTTAGAAATCCTACTATATGCGCCATTTATGTATTACAACAATACCCTAGCAAAAAAATAATAAAATAAGTCATGCGCGTGACATCGTAAGTAATCATAAAATTTAGCTGTCCTTAGTTTTACCGCCTATCAGTAGCGGAGAATTTATTTTTTATTTAGCCTATGGCATATAAAGAACAAATAATTAAAAGCAATATTTTTATAAAAAACTTATGAAGTATTATAAACGAACATCTAATATATCAATACAATCTAAAACCTATTCGGACTCATTCAGGAATTCCATTTTCTTAGTTTTTCTTGTTATTCTGTCAAAATATTCTCCTCCTTATGTCTTTACTTTTTCTGTTTGAATTCCTTTTTGCTTTTGTTTAGTTTCTGGTAAAATCTTTTTGTCTCTATTGGCTTACTTAGATCTTGCAGTTCTTGAAGTTCTTTGTTCATAGTTTCTCTCTTTTTTCTGAGGTGTATTTTCTTTTCTTCGTTGCGTAGTCATTTATATTGCTCTTCTGCTTATCGGGTTCTGTACCCCTGTTGTAGAGGAAGTGGTCCGAATATGAGCCCTGCACTTATTATGGGCCCCCAATATATTTCAACTAGAGCACGTCGCGACATCTATGAATTTCGTACTAAAATACTTCTACTAGACCCCCAAACATTTTTCTGTTTATGCACGCAGTCTCGTGTATATCTCTGTACTAACAGGTGACATAAGTTTATTTGTGTAGTTCAACAAATATTTTACGGTAAGTGTTTTTGTGCTATTTATCAACGTTTATGTTTGAAACTGGAGAGTTGATGTGTTAGTATGTTAGAAAAGTGATCAGTATTTGATATTCCATCATAAAAACTAACCTAATAATGAATTGAGAAGAAATTGAATGCTTTTAAATAATCAGGTGGAATGTTGTTAATATGGGCCCCTACCGTGGTCCTATTATGGGACAGAGCTCATATTCGGACCAAGTCTTAATAAAGTGTTTTTTTTGCAGTTCATTATGCCACGAAGCAAACCGAAGTTTTTTTCAAAGAACTTAAGACAAACATGGAGACGTGAAGATATGGTTAAGGCTATGGACAGTGTTAATAACAAAATAATGGGTCTTAAAACTGCAAGCAAACAGTTCAGCGTGCCACGATCTACACTTCAAAGACTGTTAAAAAAACAAAAGGAAGGTAATTTAAATATTAGTGACGTAGTTAAAACTCAACTAGGAAGAAAGACAACATTAGGAAAAGAACTGGAGGAAGAACTTGTCCAATATGTTTTGTCCATGGAAGCTACTTACTATGGTCTCACAAGAAAGGACATTAGAAAAATGGCATATGTCTTAGCTGTTCGTAATGGAATAGCTCATCCATTTAAAAATGGTGTGGCGGGGAGAAGCTGGTTGGATGCATTTTTACTACGTCACAAAAATGTACTTTCTATTCGAAGACCAACAGGAACTTCCTTCGCTAGAGCATTAGGCTTCAATAAGGAAAATGTGGAGCAATTTTTTGACAATTTGCAGAGTGAATACTCAAAAAATAAATTTTCGCCTCACCAAATTTACAATGTAGATGAGACTGGGCTTACAGTTGTTCAAAGTAAGGTGGCATCAGTGGTGGGAAGAAAAGGAAAACGGCAAATTGCTTCAATTACCTCAGCCGAACGGGGTTCACTAGTTACGTTTATAGCTGCAATGAGCGCTGGAGGTCAATTTGTACCGCCCATGTTAATTTTCCCGAGAAAAAATCGCAACGAACAGCTGATGCGAGGGGCTCCTCCAGGTTCAATCTACGCAGTACATCCAAGTGGGTGGGTGCAACAGAATTTGTTTTCCGATTGGATGAGGCATTTCATAAATTTTGTTAAACCAACAAAAGAATGTCCAGTTCTGCTAGTGTTAGATGGCCATTATAGCCACACACGAAACTTAGAAGTTATTCGACTAGCTCGTGAAAATCATATTTCCATTATCTCTTTGCCGCCTCACTCAACTCATAAATTACAACCCCTTGATAAAACATTCATGGGAAGTTTCAAGGCTTATTACAGTGAGGAAATTAGAAATTGGCTTCGTGTTAACCAACGAGCCCTCACACAGTTTGACTTGGCAGAACTTTTAGGTAAAGCCTTTTTAAAATCACAGTGTGCCGAAATAGCTGCTAGTGGTTTTAGGGCGACGGGAATATATCCGTTCAACCGTCACATTTTTTCTGAAGCAGATTTTATATCTGAACGAATTCAGGCTGAGAAAAACTGCAACATTTTGTCTCAAGCCTCGCCTCAAGCGCGGCCTGTCACAACAGAACCCCAGCATGGTACCCCAGAACCTCAGCCAGGATGTTCTTTTTGGGAAGATACAGCTAAATTACAATCACAGGCAACATCTTCGCCGTCAAATTCCAATTTCTCTAGACCATCTGTTCCAGGAATGGAAAATTCCGTTAAATTGGTCTCACCATTTGACATTTCACCTGTACCTTCCGTCACAAAGAAAAATACCACTCGGGGAAGAAAATCAACTAAATCGCAAGTGATCACCTCTTCCCCTACAAGGATGAGTTAGAGAAATCCTGCACCAACACGCCTAAGAAAGCAAGCACCAAACGACAAGTCTTTTCAAAATCAAAAGCAAAGAAGACAACTAACAAAAAAAGACAGCAAGCAAAAGACAATAAAGTCAGCGACTCTGAGGATGAAAGTCACGAGTTTGTCCCAGACGATGAAGATATGGATATCGACGAAATTGGCAAATCTGTTCCTGACGGCTGTGATGCAGTATGCCTATTTTGTGATGGTCGCTTTTCCGATGACCAGAGAGGAGAGTTATGGATTCAATGCTTCATGTGCAATCAATGGGCTCACGAACAATGTTCAGGTGCCGAAAAAGATGCATATATTTGTGACTTTTGCGTGTAATATGTGGTTTTTAAGTTGAAATGTATTTTCATTTTCATTTTCAGTTTTTTTTATTTGAAAAATATATGTTTTTTCAAATTGTTAGATACCTATCAATTATTTTACTAGGGGGCCCATATTCCACGCAGTCTAATCCAAAAGTAGATCTGTACATAATTTAAGTGTTGACACAAATTCCACCTAAATTTAATTTTTTTGATAATGCCTTTTTAATATACCATAAGGTAAACCTTTAAGCTTGTAGTGTGTAATTTACTGGATATTTATTCGTAACTTTCAAAAATTTATACAAAAAAAACAAATGGGGGGCTCATATTCGGACCACTTCCTCTACCATTAAATATGCTCTGTTTTTTCTCTCTACTATAATCTGATATTCTTCGTCAAACAGTCATTAGTTCTTG